CATACGGCTCAATCGACGCGGAATCGTTTGGTGGTCACGAATATGATCAGTAAAACGTTTGGTGGTCAACCGTTTTCCCAGAAAAAAAGAAAAACTGTATGCTCACGCCGTTGGTCGTATGACTCTGTGCTATTAGTCAGAAAAATTGTATTTGTCACCCAAATTGACTTTGATAGGGCTCAATCGACGCGGAATCGTTTGGTGGTCACGAATATTGTCATTAAAACGTTTGGTGGTCAACCGTTTTCCTAAGAAATAGAAAAAACCGTACTCTCACGCCATTGGTCGCATGACTTCGTAACGTTAGCTCGGTAATTTGATGGATAAACATTATTTATCAATCAAATTGACTTCCATACGGCTCAATCGACGCGGAATCGTTTGGTGGTCACGAATATAATCAGTAAAACGTTTGGTGGTCAACCGTTTTCCCAGAAAAAAGGAAAAAGCGTATGCTCACGCCATTGGTCGTATGACTCTGTGCTATTAGTCAGAAAAATTGTATTTGGCACCCAAATTGACTTTGATAGGGCTCAATCGACGCGGAATCGTTTGGTGGTCACGAATATTGTCATTAAAACGTTTGGTGGTCAATCGTTTTACTAAGAAATAGAAAAAACCGTACTCTCATACGACCAATAGCGTGAGAGTACGGTTTTTTCTATTTCTTAGGAAAACGATTGACCACCAAACGTTTTAATGACAATATTCGTGACCACCAAACGATTCCGCGTCGATTGAGCCCTATCAAAGTCAATTTGGGTGATAAATACAATTGTTCCGACTACGGCATTATGCGCATACGGTTTTTTCTATTTTCTGGGAAAACGGTTGACCACCAAACGTTTTTACCGGTGATATTTGTGACCACCAAACGATTCCGCGTCGAATGAGCTATAAAAAAGTTAAATTGGTTGAAAAATAAAAATTGTCCGGCTAACTTCACACCGGAAATTTCATTTTTATTTTACACGAAAACGATTAACCACCAAACGATCGGACTAGACTACCAAAGACCACCAAACGACCACCAATCGATTCCAATTAATGAAAGTTCGATACGTTGAAGTTGTCCGGCCAACTTCATAGAGGTGCGTCAAGTACGCGCGAAACGATACCAACCGTGACTCTTTACGCGACGCGACGATTAATATCTTTTCTGATTCAAAGTAATTGTTTTACTTATTTACATGTAATTATCCTATTATTATACGACGCGAAGCGAGACCGCCCCGTGACTCTTTTACGCGACTAAGTGCATGTGACAGGAATTATAGTAGTTTACGTTTACGTGAGTATTACTTCTGAAGTAACTTATACGAACGATATCATCGTAGTTACTATAAAATCTCTCGTTTATGCGGAGGTATTATCGTATCGTTCGTAAGTTACTACAGAATTAAGTAACGCTCGCGTAAACGTAGTATAGGTTAAATTACCGGTTTCTTATTTTACATAAAACGCGAGATTCACTTATGTATGCAAGTTTAACGCCTATTGAGTTAATATGAAATAATTTTCCTAAATGTAAAAATAACACGAGGTTATATATGCGGTTTGGCATGAACATATATATCGCGACAATAGCCGAGGTGATCGAAGAAGTTGTGTATAATGTCCCGATTCAACGGCCCCTGTCCCTGATTGAGAGTGTTAATAATAACATTAATATCTCTCACACTGTCAAGCTAAATTGGCTCTTTGTTCAGCTTCCGACTCATTCATCATTTCTCCTTTTGCAAAATTTGGAAAACAGCATGATGTATTGGTTGGTATAACAATGAATTGCTGCCAGTTCCAGATGTATTGAACAGTAAGTGATATAATCTTATATTCTGATTATACAATACATTTTTACTTTGTAGAGGATGATTACGTGGCTGTATATTGGAGCGACAAATAGATTAGAGGATGCATTGAACGTCCAGATCCATCGGGAGAAAGAAGCGTAGTACGATTACTCGATCACGGTGGTTACTGGCAGTTTAGTAATTTGTAATGTAGGTCATTGATATATAATTATTTGAGCCTACCCTTCCAAGCCATTGAAATCTTTTTAGCAAATATTCAGCCAAAGAACGGTAACTATAATCGACGTTATATGTACTATTATTCTAGATTATACATCTCTACTCAAAATTATTTATCTTTGGATATGTAATTATACTTTGATGTTACTCCTTTGCAGGTAAATGGTCGACAGAAGCTTACAATGTGGTACAAAATTGTTCCTCAAAGGGAGTTGCTACTCAAGCTCAGATTGAAGGTCGCATTCAAACTAATATTTATGCAAATATTTATTTTATGATACAAAATTATGGGGTAAGTAGCATGGTAGAAATATACATGGTGTGCTCAGTATTGGTCTATCTTTTTCTAAAATCTCCTGGCTCTCTCTTTTCTTGTTGCCGAAAAACACAGGCTTCCATCAACAAAATATCCCTAGAATAGTGGGTATTTTGTGTTGTTATGATGCAGAATTCACTGCTCATCACACGATCACACTAAAATATTTGGCCACCCAGCAAACGAAAAAAGATTGAAAAGAATTAAAACGGGATTGCCAGGAATTCAATTAAGGACTTTCCGAATTCCATTCTGTTCAAAAAAGGAATTAAAATAGTTTCAATATCATGGAACTCCTTATTTTGGAAAGAATTTGTCTTTTTTGAATCCCATCCAATTCCGACACAAAAATATTATACCACTGAATGCCAGGTTAGGGATTGGAAAGTTTCGTGATGAATTCCATTAAATACCATTGATTCCGTTAACGAAATGAATACCATTGAATGCCAAACTAGGAATTAAAAATTTCCGTATTGAATTCCATTGAATTCCGTCTATTCTGACAATAAAATGAATACCATTAAATGCCAGGATAGGGATTGAAAAGTGTCCGTGTTGAACTCTGTGGCGGTACGCGCCAACAATAGTACACGCCCGCGCGGTATCTGCATTACCGTCAATTCGCGTCGACGCCGCTAGGCGTCGCATCGCCCGGGGCATCTTCTCGAGTTCAAAGTTTCGTCTCGACCGCTATGTAAAGGGACCCCCTACGGTGCCTGACAGATCTTACAAATCTCATTTTCGGGCTAATTGCCCGTCGGCAGTAGTGCGTGTAATGCCCTTAGGCATACACAAAAGCTCACCGACGAACAACGGCGCTTGGTCGCCCAACAAAGGCGCGAGACGTTTCCTAAACCATTTAATGCCATGCAATTCCATAACCTTTACGGATTCCATAGGATTGGATGGAATTTAAAATTTCTTTTTTGGATTTCATGGGATTAGACCATCTCATTTCGAATCCCATCTAATTTCATCTAATTCCGCCAAAAAAGGGATTCAAAGGTATTAAAAAATTTTAATATCTTTTAATCCTTTTGCGTTTGCTGGGCATTATTCGTAACAGTAATAAATATAATATGCAATAAATTTATATAATAATGAAAGTAAAAAACAGAAAAGAAAGATTTATTTTAATATACTGTCGATTAATTTTTCATATCTATTTTTTTAAATAAAAACTATTGTTTATTAAAAACATTGTAAATTATTCATCATAGCTGATCCACAATGTCTCGGTAGCTTTTTCTTCAAATGTAGGCTTGCATTATTCATATTACATATGTACGTTAAATTTTTTTTATTTACTTGTTTTCACGATTGTGATTAATTTATATAATTAATAATACTTTTTAAATAATTCTTTATTTACAACTAATTATTAGATAACTTAATCAATGCGATAAACTTTCTTTTATATTAACTAAATAAAAAATCATTCTTTTCTATGTTCAGACCGAATTTACTGAAGCTGTTGAGTTGGAACAGGTGAATAAGAAAATCAATATTGTCAGTCCAGAATGTGATGCGCAAAATACTTGTCTATCAGCAAAACCGAAGCTGCCAAAGATATTGCATATCGACTGTCACATAACTGCCAAGTTATCTATTTGCCACCAGGTCGAGGTATATTAATGAACTTGCAGGAGTTAAGGATTAATAAAAGGTATCTCTAAAAGTAAAGTTGACCGAAGGTTAATGTTTATTTAATATATAATGTGTTTAATTTGAAATTTTCTTTTTGTCGGAAGAACGTTTATTTTTTTAATTTCTTATTTTTTCTTTTTTTTTCTTTCTTGCATGTGTCTTTTTGCCAATTTCTTTAACTCGAATGTATGTGCGAGTTCTAACAAGGCATTTTAACACCTAGTCATCAACTGACCACCTGATCCATTTTTTTATTTTCCAATAAACACCGAATTTGTCCCTCTGTAAAATAGAGGTTCAGTACCGCTTTCATCTTTTCAGAAACAAGTATTGTTAGAGCCGCTTCTTTCTCGCGTTTCGCCGCTTCTAATTGTTCGTTAAGTTCGGCAATGGACGTCTTCAGTTGGATATTTTCAGCAAGAATGGTCTTTACGTACTGTTCCCGCTCTGCTAGTTGCAATGTCAGTGATTTATTTTTCATTCCAAGACTGTTCAATTCCTGCATACACTTTTCTACTGAACTTGCATGAAATTCGTCTAGAGACCTGTGATGTTTCAAGTCAGCTTTCAACTACGCTATGGTCTTATGTGGATCCTCTTCTTTGTTTGCCGTGTTGCCAGGAACATTGCTGATAATGTTTTCGTCCATATATCTGAAAACATTTTTACGTAATTAAGATATTTCTGAATATTATACTTTTCAACATGTCATTTGAAACTATTATGCTTTTAAAACGGAAACTTAAGGCTTCTGGTCCCTGAGCCGAGAACTCTGCGTTGACGGTGGCGACGTACCGTAGCGGCAGAAATCAGAACTCTCTCCAATGAAGAATTCTGTCCTTTGTGATATGTTGACAACCTATTTTGTTGTGCATGCTATTTCTTTATTATT